GGGTCAAGCGCCGCAAGTGCGGGGCGAGACTGCACGCGCACGCGCTGACTCCCGAGGAGATGAGGAGCACGATTGCCGAGAGGCTGGCAGCCAAGCAGGAGCACGTCAAGGCAGAAGAGGAGCAGCAGGATATCCAGATGGCCATTCGGGCGAGGAACTGCGACTTCGTCCAGGACGAGAAGGGGCCAGTTCAGAGGCCTTCTCACAGCCCAGGGCATACCTTATCTCAAAGCCCCCGGCGCCCAGCTGCTCTCAGGGCGAGGAAGCCAGTGAAAGATAGTTCCATTCCCATGAAGCCCCCGCCGCCCAAACTCCCGCCTGGTGCCCAGACAGCGCGAAAGAGCCCATCCTCGACCAGGAACGCAGACGGTTTCGAGGCTCTGCTCAGGAACCAGGAAGCCAGCCGGGCGGAGATCGCACAGTGGATGTCCGAGCAGAAGAGCGAATCGGAGACCACCGGGGCGCAGCTCAGGGGGCTGATGGAGGTCATTCGGAGCGGTCTGACGGGGTCATCCAGCAGTCGGGCGACGCCGGAGGCTGCCATGAAGGTCGAGGGCGATTGAGTTCCAGGGGGCCCAAGACGGACATGGGCCTCTCCAAATGCGAGCCCAGGCTCGAGAGCAGCTCTGACCGCTCCATATTCCAGCCGAAGGCCGACCAGGGCTGCAGAGAGCTGCCAGAAAAAAAAGACATCCTCATTCTCCTTCCATCAACATCGCCTTCGCTTCCATCAGATCCGTTTCCGATTTGCCTCCCGGACTTCAAAGGGATATGAGGGGCTTTCTTCCCCGTGGAACCGATCCCGGCCCCTGGGTCGCGAAGAGTTTCGGGGCGTCGGAGTCGAGGGAGAGAATCAGGGAATTATGGGTGAGGTCCCAGGTGCTGGACTCCCGGGCGTGGGACCTGGGGGCCAGGAGGCAAGTTTCGGAGAAGTGACCAAGAAGGAGACTGGGCCAGGAAAGACCTCGAGCCCCCAGGGGCTCGAGCGTCGATGACCTACGTCGCGTTAAGGGCTCAGGGGGGCCAAGACGCGGAGTGCCCCGCCCAAGGAATTCGCAGACTTAGGATCACGTTGTGCGACTCTGGCCAGACTGCGACTCTGGTGGACTCACTGTGGGCTGGGACCTCAGCGTCTTATCTAGCATCGCGGCTGCATCGCTCCAAGGGCTCCGACATCAGCGTCGCGGTCTTGCTCTCAGCTGAGGCCCCGGTCTTTAGCTTTCGCAAGAGTTGGTCCTTGCTGGACCGTCGCCCGCGCCCTAGTCGGACGCTGGCTCAGCTTCCGGCGACAGCCCCCAGAAGAGAGGTCCGAGAGGGCGCGCTCAGAAATTTAGGGGGCCAGGGGGTCAGGGGCTTCAAGAAGAAACTGAGGCAGAACCTTTCGCGTTACCTCCAAGGACAAGGTCGCGCTCTGATGCTAGAGGTGTTCTCGCCGCCTAGGATCGCGCCCGAGATGGAGCGCCGGGGATTTCCATGCTCGACCCCGATAGACCCCAAGACAGGATGGGATCTCCGGCGATCCCGAGAAAGGGCTCAGATGTGGAAGATGTTGGAGAGGGTTGCACCAGAGGTCAGTATCATGGCCCCTCCGCGCCTCGGAGTTTCGGTCGCCGGGGCCCCGAACTGGGAAAATATTGATCCTCCAGAGAGAGAGAGAGTGGAGCAGGACAGTATTTTCTTTTGGGGTCTGGCTGTTCAGGTGGCGATGTCTCAGACGCAGCGCAGTCGCACTTTTCTGATCGAAGATCCGTGCGGAGCGTTCTCTAGACATTTGAAGTTGACGGAGATTCTGCCGACCCAACCGGGGGTTTCAGAGACGCGAGGGGATCAGTGCAGTTGTGGTCTCAGGACCCTAGACGGAGGCCTCGTCATGAAGCCCGCGAGATTCTACGCCAACAATCGTTTCCTTTTCTCACAGTGCAGAAAAGCGTGTCCCGGCACCCATCCACACTCGTCGTTGACCGGCGGCGCCAGGACCTCAGCAGCTGAACGCTTTCCCCCGGGCTTAGTGGCGGCTCTCTCCGAGGGCATCGAGCAGGCAGCCACGTGTCTGTCTGCTCGTGCCTCCTTTCCCTCGGCCGAGGCCGAGCCGTCTGCCGAGGCCGAACCTACTTCTGCCGACCCATGCGTCATAGATGAGGGGGGGGCGATTCTGAAGGGGAGCGTGAAACCAGGAGGCCTGAGGAGGCCAGACAGGGTCCCGGGAAAATCGGCCAGGTCCTTCCAAAGGAAATGCAGGACGAACTTCGCGAGATCCATGCGAACCTGGGACATCCTAGGAAGAAACATGTCATCAGAACCTTGAGGGCCGGAAAGACCTAGCCAGAAGTCACCCGATGGGTCTCGCACAGTTGCAGGCGTCCGAGACTCCGGCTCGAGACCCGGACGGCGCCGACGGGCGCATCTTCCGAGGACCGACCGCTTCAATGAGTTGGTCGCCGCCGACCTCTTCTATATCATTGACGCCCTGGAGGGAAGTTACCTACTTCTCAACTTAATAGATCGCGGCTTCAACCTTCAGGCGCGCACTCGGCTGAAAGCCGCCACCTCGGAAGAGGTCTGGGGAGCGTTCCAGAAGTTTTGGGTCAGACCCTTCGGGGTTCCCGAGATAATGGTGACTGATGGGGGCGCTGAGTTCGAGGGGGCTGCCTCGAGGGGTTTGGGGCATCTGGGGGTTCGCCAACGCGTCAGCGATGCTGGATCCCCCTGGCAGAACGGAAGATGCGAGAGACATGGGCGCATCGCAGAAGGGGCCTTGGCCTGGGCTGCGCAAGGTGCAGCCCCCACCTCCCTGGAAGAGATAGAGGAGCTGCTGCGTGAAGTTGTTGCGGCCAAGACCCGCTATTCACACCGAGGGGGTTCTCACCATTTCATATGGTCTTTGGAGAGAACCCAAGACTGCCATGGTCGCCGATATCCGACGAGGCCACAGACGAGGTGGGGATAGGAGACGTCATCCGAGGGAGCCCCGATTCCAACTCGCCAGCGTCAGCTTTTGCCAGGAAACACGCGTTGAGAGAAGAGGTCAAGAAGGCCGTGATGGAGATAGACACCAGGGACCGACTGTTGGCCGTCCAGGAGGCCAGAAAACACGTGGATCGGATTTCCCTTCCCGGAGCGTAGGTTTACGCGTGGGGGAAGGGAGGGGGGGGTCCCAGGGCCGCGGCAAGGGTGTTCCCAGGAGCCAGTAGAGCAGGTGGACTCGTCCAGGGGCCGTGGTTTTTCAGCTGGGTACGACCGTATGGTTCGCCATGAGATCTCGCCGTTTAAAAAATGCTGTCAGGATGAGATTCGGCGGGCCACCAACGAAGTGGCTCGGGGCGCCGAGCTTCTGGACTCGCCGTCTTTCTCACAGCTCAGACAGGAGCAGCAGAATCCCGGGCGTTGCGTCGGGGCGGCGGACGTCGAAGCTGAGGGCCCCCCTCTTGCTGAGGCCTGGGATCTGGAGGAACCCGCCCAGGAGGAAGAGAGGCCAGTTTCGGTTCCGACTCCCGTTCGCGAGCCAGAGCCCCCCGTGCCCGAAGAGGTCGGGGGGCCGAGTCCAGAGCCCCCGCCGGAAGATCGAGCTTCCACGGGGCCCACCCGCTCTCCATCTCTAGCGGAAGTATGTCTCCTCGGATGGGATCTGTCAGGTCTGGGCACGAGGGGGTTCGAAGGGTCCATGACGTGCTTGAGGGTTCCGAGCCGAGTCCAACCGTTCGACGAGGTGACGACCTTGCCGAGCCTCCCCCGGCTCAGAGGCCTAGACTGACCCCGATAGAAGAGGCCCCGGAGGGTCCTGGGAGGGTCCAAGGTGCGATTGCTGAGAGGGAGGTGATGGCCGCCAGATCTAGGCCGCTGGATGACGTACCGTTCTGCATCCGTAGCAGGGGCAACGCTTCCGCGTCATACAGCTCAGGTCGAGCCCAAGCTGCAGTGCCAGTGGAGCGTGCCGACGTTGCCGAGCCAGCCAGGGATGGCTCTCGCTCGCCCCGACGCGAGGCTCCAGAGGGCCAGGATGACGAGCTGTTAACCTGGAACTCTGGACTACCAGGGGATCGGACGAGCTTCTCTGGGGAGAACTCTGCTCCTGGTTTCACTTCGACGACGATTTTGGGGTCTCTTGGGCCGAAGGCACTTTCCTAGATTCCACGGACAAGGGAAAGGGGAAAGGACTGCCATTGCCTCGGGTAGCTGAAGTTAGTTTGAAGTCTCTCTCTGAGGAAGAGAGACACCTTTTTATTATTATATCGGACGCCAAATAATGGAAGGCCACTCTAGGGTCAGGCGCGGCAAGGATAGCGCTGCCGAGGCAGCGCTAGTGAGAAGGAGGCTTCCGGACAGGATTTGGGGACCCCGAATGGCGAGGAGGTTCAAGCCGCAAGAAGGGGTGGGGTCCGGGGTCGCTGCGAAATCCAGATGGGGTGTTCAGGCGCACCACGATCCAGATCATGAGGATCGCCAAGTTTATTCCCCAATCCCACAGTCCGAGAGCATCGTGGTGACTCTCCAAGCCATATGCTCACTCGGATGGGACCTCCAGATAGCGGATTGCAAGAATGCGTTTTGCCAGTCCGACCGCTTGCATCGACCGAAAGGGTTTATTTTCTGCGAGCCCTGTCAGGGGCTGAGCCTTGCCCCAGGTGCGCTCATCGAACTGGTTGCGCCGGTCTATGGTTTGAACGATGCTTTGCTTCTCTGACACCGAACGCTGACGCAGTGGCTAGTTCAAGATGGTTTTACGAAGTCTCTGTTGGAACCGTGTTTGTGGATCGACAGGTCCAATCAAGAGGAAATTCGCGCTTTGACCTTGATCGAGATTGACGATCTCGTCGTCGCGGCTGCTCCGGGTTTAAAACGACGGGCTCCGGGATTGTCTGCAGTCGCGATTCCTGTTTTGGGAAATGGGGGACCGGAGAAGTTGATTTTGCAGGCCGACACAAACGACAGACCGGGGGGAGGATCCTGGTAGATCAAGGAAAGCATGTTTTAGAAAATGGACCTTCATGAGACTCGCTAAGGAACGGCGAGCTGAACCCGATGCGCTACTGGTTGCGGAGGATATCAAAGACTATGGGAGTATGATAGCACAGATCCAGTGGCTCGGACGTGAGAGAGTCGACCTGATGCGGCCGCGGGTGCGTCTGTACAAAGCGCGCCCTTCCTTCCCCAACCGTTGCTGATGCGATGCTATGCCTGAAGATCGCCCGACATCTTAAGAGCACGGCCAGTCGGAGAATCGTTGTCTGGCCCCACGACCCCGCTAGTGTTATTTTTGCTGCCGTTTCGGATGCTGGAGGCCCCGGTTCGGCTCGCAGGAATTGTGGTCAGGGAGGGTGGATGGTGTTCGCTGCCGATGCTGCGATCAGGCAGACAGAGCAAGCGCGTTCGAGTTTCTCTCCTCAGCTGGCGCTCAACTCGACTAAAGCGTGTGATAGCTTCAACAGGAGCGGTCAGGACCACGGTGTGACTTGTCTCTCTCGGCTGCACTGGCCGAGGCTCAGTGGATATCCATTCTGTTGCGCGACGCCCTGTTTGGTGACGTGCGCCGACCAGACTGGCACTGGTCACAGGCCCCTTTTTTTCAGTTGTGCTGAGCAAAGACTGCATTCTCTCGGATGGAGTCTCATCCTTCTCCGTTGTCGATGCAAAGTCGGTCTCGCCACTCTGCCGGGAGTCTGGCCTATCGTTGTAATGCCATCGAACTGGCGGTTGCGCGCGACAGTTTGAGCACTTTCGGATCGCAAGTAAGATGGGTACCGCACGGAAGAACGGCAGCGGACTGTCTCACTAAGGCGGACCCTTCGCGAGGCAACCTCTCGCTGTGTGATCTGTTGACTAAAGGGGATCATGGTGTTGGTAGGCGAGGATGGGCACATGTAGGAGAGGTCCTTAAATCATTCATTCAAATGCCGTTCCAGGAAAACCTCCAAGGATGCCTTGCTTCGTGCCCAAGAAATCGATAGGTGCCCTGAGGCCCAGGACGAGGAGAGCAGAATCTCAAATGTGGCTATGTCAGACCCACTGAAAGTGGTCCTGCTGATGTCGTGTCCCACTCCTCCTCCTCCCTCTCTGTGTCTGCCATAGCCTTTTTGGCTTTGCGTTCGAGACCGGACGATGACAGGAGTTTAGGCTTCTCCGAAGGCGCTCGCGACGATAAGCTATCGCCCACCTTTCGTCCAGGGTCCAGTTTCACTTCGTCCTCCGCCTCGTCCTCCCAGGGTCCCAGCCTACGATTTCCAAGCTGGGGCCAGGTATTCGCGGATCCCTGCTGGATCCTCAGGAGAGCTTCCACCCGCGATCCTCCGCCTGTCGGGGAGGAAGAGCAGGGGGATCGAGGAAGGCGAGGGGGGATCGAGATTTTGCGATGTTTCTGCGCACCCTGCGCAGCAAAGCCGTCGAGTGAGCGAGGATGGCATGAGGCGGGGGGCGGGGGTGGAGTACGTCAAGGACGAGCGACAGATCGCCCATCAGAGGCGATGAAGGATCAAGCGATTCCGTCGCAACCACGTGGCAGTCGTTTGGTTCGGGTAGGCTGTGCTAGTGCGACCTATTCTTCCAGAGTTCCAGAGTTCTAGAGCTACCTATGTTGGGGCCTTTGGAGGCCACTGGGGATTCTGGAGATCTTCTCCTCCGCCTGAGGGCTGAGATCGGGAAACCTGCTGCCAGACAAGTGTTGTTCTCACAAGTTCTGGAAAGTATTGGAGGGATCCGGATGTTCGCGAGGAAGCCCTGGAAGGGTTTGAAAGAGGGTACAACACGACCTTGGGCGAAAGAACTTGTGTCCGGGATGAAGTCGAGAGTTCCAGGGGCCCACCTCGAGAAACACACGACGTCGGAGTGTTGGAGCTGCTTGCCTGAAGCTTTGGAGGATGATGGAATCGGGCCAGTTCGGAGGTTCTTGGCGGCTTTCCGCGTTTCCTGGGTTCGTTCCAGAATAATGTGAAGGTCTTCGGCGCTGTTCGAAGGTTCCTAACGGGTTCCTGGAGGGTAATGGAGAAAGATGAGGGGGGAGGAGGGAGTAGGAGGAGGAGGAGGAGGTGGAGGAGGAGAAGGAAGAGGAGGAGGAGGAGGAGGAGGAGGAGGAGGAGGAGGATAGAGGATGAGGATGAGAAGGAGGAGGGTTCAGGTGGAGGAGGGGAAGGGTTGAGAAAGACGAGGAGGAGGAGGAGCAGGACGGATGATGAAGAGGAGGAGGAGGAGGAGGGTAAAGCGTGAGGGGAGGAGAACGAACAGGAGGAGGAGGAGGAGGGGGTGGGGCGTGATAGAGTAGGAGGAGGAGGAGGAGGTGAAAGGGGGAAAACGACCAGGGGAAGGGGATGTGTTACAGGGTTTAGAAGGTGATTCCAACACTTGGACTGTTTAGGGAGGGTTCGCGGGTTCATGGGATTCTAGGGTGTTTAAGGGAGGGGAAGGGGCAGGATGAGTAATTGTTGGAGGAGTTTATAATGAAGAAGATGAGTTGGTGCTCGAGGTGGCTCGCACTACTTCTAGCACCATCTGCTGCCTTACCATCGATGAGTTACCCCTTTTTCCCCCAGGCCGTCTCGCTTAGATCCCTTAGCCGTGTCACATCTAATCTCCCACTGCTTTCGCTCCCACGCAAGTTGACCATCCTCTCGCTTTCCCCGTCTGCTTCCCCGCCTTTCCGCCCACCCTCCTCTCTCATCCGCCCTCGTCCCCCCCTCCGTCTCTCTCCCTGCCCTCGCCACTCCCTTCCCTCGATTCCCCCTATCCCTCCGCTTCCCCATCCCCTCCCGTGTCTCTCCGCCTTCGCAGCGGGAGGGGGAAGTGAGAACAGAGGAGGCCGAAGGGCAGTCGCGGCTCCCTGGCTGCTCATGACTATCACGTGGCTGTTTCTCTGCCTGTCTGTACCTACCTTTGCCTGTGCTCTGCCCTTGCGCTGCTTTCTCGGTGCTCCCTGAATTATTGAGTGCCTGTCGCCGCGTGTTGCTTGGTTTGCCGCAGCTCTGTCGTTGGTCGTCGTTTCCTCATTCATTGTTTTGCCGATCGGCGTGGGCCCTCGCACCCCCCCCCTCCCCCCCCTCCTGGAGTGTATCTTGTCTGTTTTTGCTCCTGTCTCGAGCAGGGGGAGTCTCCCTTCGTAGGACCCACTGCTGCAAACAGTCGGACTAAGCAGTCGAATGCGTAGCATGCTCTCCCCTAATGGACCGTGAACGGGACCCAGTCCCCTGCCGGTCGTCTAGTGCCGCCATCATAGGCAACCAGAGGGGCCATCATAGGCACCTCGCACCCAATTCGGGGCCATCAACAAGGCTCGTTTTGGGAAGAAGGACCATCATAGGCCTTCGCGCTCAATTTGTTCATTGAGCTCAACTTTCTCGTCGTCGTCCTCCTCCTCCTTCTCCTCCACCTCCTGGCCTCCACCCCATCGGAGCCGCGATACAGGCAGTGCGGGCATCACCTCGGCCTCGATCGGGTCGTGCTCGTGAATTCCACGGTTTCCGTGTTCATGGGTGTGTTCACGGTGCGTTTCAGGGAGTCCGCAATCGTAGGTCGGGTCGTGCTCGTGAATGTCACGGTCTTCTTGTTCATGAGTGTGGTCACAGGGCATTTCACGGAGTCCGCAATCATAGGTCGGGTCGCGCTCGTGTGTTTCACGGTCTTCGTGATCACGAGCGCGATCACAGTGCATGTCACGGAGTCCGCAATCAGGTCGAATCGTGTTTGTGAATTTCACGGTGTTCGTGGTCATGAGCGTGGTCACCGCGCGTTTCACGGAGTCCGCAATCATAGGTCGGGTCGTGTTCGTGAATGTCACGGCCTTCAGATTCATGATTGTGGTCACAGTGCATTTCACGGAGGATGAGCACGACGGACGTTGTTGGTGGACGTCCGCCCTTGCCCTCTCCCCCCCCCGGTGAGGACCATCATAGGCCTTACCAGTGAGGACCACCATGAGGCTTCACACCCCTCGCAGTTTCCATCATTGGAACTGCGGGGGTCGAACCAAATCCCCACAAACCTGGCACCGTACGTGCAGTGCCAGGGGCGGCGGCCCGTCCTCCCATCTTACCATCATAGGGGGATGCGAAGCCCCTGAAAACGGGACGGGGTGGGCACGAGCGAGCATCAGAGCCAGTTCAAAATCAAAAATCGCATCATAGCCTCATCAGTCTAGATTGATCCACTCACGGACCACTGCAATTGATTTCCATTGAATTCGTTCCATGCGTAGCATGCCCCCCCCCCCTCCCACCCCCCTTTCCGCCCAATGTCGAAACGCCGAAAAAAAAACATTCACGTATCTGTCGCTGCCAGGGCCGCTGTCCGGTCGCCAGGCGCTTCAAGCTTTCACGCGTTCTAGCCCCGTTGGATGCTTGTTCGGTCTTCATCTTGTCATGCCCACCGCCTGCTGGGAAACCGACGTCGTGCGCCAGGGTGAGGTGCGCGTGACGTATCGGATGTTCCAGGACACCTGCACATGATACAGTAGGAACATCCAATCAGAACCCTACGTGCCAGCAGGTACCCTACAGACCTTTTTATCCCAATATCCCCCTGATAGCCCCAGGGCCCCACAGAAGCCCTGGGGCACCTTAGGACCCCCCAACACCGACGAAAAATGTGCCCGGGTATTTCTTATCGTATGTGTCTCTTGTATGTTCTGTCGTGACGGCACAGCGCTTCCAAGGCGCTCCTCATGATCCTCGTGCAGATACCCATGTTGAGCCGGCTGATCGGCATTTCTGAGGAAATCGCCTTTTTCACGTCGCGACGTTTCGAGCGGCGGGATCTCTCACTGCCCCTGGCCAGTCCCATCTTGGAACTAGGAGCGGTGTATACGCACTCCTTGGCCAAGCCTGGAGGGCGTACGCCGTATGCGCCGCTCCTGGTCCTTCGATGGGCATGGCCAGGGGCAGAGGGTAGGTATCGATTTCGTCGCCCCAGTGCTAGCCATTCCACCAGACCCTTGAATCAAGCCACCAAGAGCCGATAATTGGCGTTCTCTACACGGCCCTGGGCGTTTACTGAACAGCCCTGCCCTGTTGGATTCCTTTTTCGGGTACGTTGACCAAACGGCCTCGCGTGCCGGGGTGGTTGTTATCAGTGTGGATTTTTCTCTCTATTAAAGCAGATGCTTATTATCCTCTTCCTCTTCCCCCTCATCGCTGGAGGTTTGGAGTCGGATACTCCCTGACCCACGAGCTAGATTTCTGTAGTTGGAAGAGTCGTTGTAGTCTGGGCAGGGAGTTGTAGATGCTAGGAGTTTCTTGGAAATCTCTGGAATTTGATTGTTGAGAGACTTTCTTGTAGGTTCTCGCCCCGATGACGCGGCGGCGACCTCAGCGCTGGCGTTCAAGGTTGAACGCCGCCAGTGGCCCGAATGGGCCGATATTGCATGGTCCGCGCTATCGGAAAGCAGCGATCGTTCAAGGCTTTACGGTGTTCGTGGTGTCAGGAACCAACGTCGAAGTCGTCAAATGATGCGAGCACCCCGTTCGTATAGGCCACGTGTATAGTACACGGACTCCGAATGGTGTCCGGCCACGATCTGCCGCTGGGGTCACCGCAGCCGTACCAGCCTCGGGTCGCAAGTTGCCTCCTGTCGTCGTCATGGCCGTCATCCGTCATTCGTCGCTCGTCGTCGTCGCTGTCGGTCGTCGTACTTCGCTCGTCGTTCGTGGTCGTCATTCGTGGTTGTCGTTCGTCGTCGTTGTCTTCGTCGTTGCCGCCGTCGCCTTCCGTCGTAGTCGTCACCTTCGTCGTCGTCGTCGTCATCCTCGTCCTCGTCGTCGTCAGACCCCTCCTGCTTCCTCTTTTCCCTTGGCGCTCGGTGGCCATCTTGCCCGCGCCACACGCGGTGGAGAGACCCGC